ACAAAAGATGTGTTTGGGGCAAAGATATGCAATGCACAAATCTGGTTACCACAGTCAATGCTTTCCATGTAATAAAGAATTAAAATAAACATTGTTTTGATTTGAGGAACTGTTTACAGCTGACAATCACATTTGAAAACATCATCTATAATTCAGCTCGTCTTACGATGCATCTTTTCTTAAATATAAATGTCCTTGTGATTCATTTGGTCTAGTTTATATTTGGTCAGTCATGTGTTGTTTTTAAATCGTTGTTGGTTTTTTCAAAGCAATTGTTTAGCACTTCTGTATGGTTCTTTTGACACACCTCATCCCAAACAGATCATGTGGTTTTGATCAAGTGGCTCTTGTTGCTAGGAGACACAATTCTTGCTAAAGTGATATGATCCAAGAAAACTCACTAGACTGTGGATATGATGACAACCGTACAAAAAAACATTTAAGTAATTGACAAAGATGGAGAAGCAGAAGAATGTTATGACTGAACTATAATAAGCATTTAAAACCGATAAAAGACAGATTTAAGGTTTTTACAGGTTCACAGACCCAGACTTAAAAAGACTCTTTTACCTACTGCAATTGCACTTTATAACGACTCCCCTTTAAGTAAGGACAGAAGACATTTAAACTTTAGCCTGAGTTACATATATCATATATCAAACTGTATTGTGGGCTCATGTTTTTTTTGTATGGGTGGGATATGCATGTATGTATGTGTTTGTGTGTGTGCTGGCTGCTGGAACACCTACATTTCCCTGCTGGGATGAATAAAGTATATCTTATTTTACCCTCTTTAAAACACACTCACTTGATACATCATCCGTCTGAAATATCATTTATATTAAAAGGTAGGTATGAGAATATGAGTAAGACAGGCAGGAAAAACCCGCCAGAAATCTGACTGACGTGTTGAACTGCGCACAAGAATGAACACACTTAAAATACCAAATAAATTACATAATAAAAGGTGAAACGATATCTTGTGTCCATATGGTGATCCAGCTGAGCACACCATGCATCTACTCTACATGTACACAGAAACAAGACTGCACCCTCAAATACACCCCATCATTTACAGTAAGGTTGGCAACACACTGCAAGCCAAGTTAGCCAAATATTTACTGGTCGTCATCAGCCTGGTTTCCAGTTCGCTCAGTCTGGGAGAGGTCAGCATCTTTAACTAGCTGCCCTTAGTCCCCAAGTTAATTACATGAGCGCCATGTACTAGTAAGCTAACCTAGCAACTGCAGTGACAGTTGCTAGGTTAGCGTGTGAACTCGCTCATTGCTCGAGGCGGCACTGGCAAAGACACAACCCGTTCATTTTCTGATATAAACCACGTAAGACATCGTGGTATCCGCGTCTGAAGTCTAAAATGTGGGCTTTTTGTTCGCTCGCAGTCGTTGTCCGCCGTTAGCTGTCTGGAAAACAGGCTACGGGCTAACCTTTCATCCGCGCCAACACAGCCAGGCCTAACAACGCAGTTCACAGCACAAGCTGCACAAACACAACATCTTAGCATGCAAGTGGAGAGTCACACATGAGATCTAACTAAAATAAACAAATGATTTCATATCGTTGGGATACCTGTTAGCTTCTTTAGAAGACAATACGATGCCGACTATTCAGGTCGATGTGGTTGATAGTGGGATGACTAACAGAGAAGCCCAGTCGAGCTTTATACGAGCGCTGCTGCTGCAAAGACGAGGCATCATTTCCGTTTCAGAATAAAACAAACAACAAACACATTTCTTGGTAAAAACAAATAAAAGTATTTGATGAATATAAATTAATTATTAAGAAACGTATTAAGCTAAAGCACCTTACTGAATACGTTTTCATTTGTTAGAGTATCCTTTTTCGCAATCGAGACATGTTGCACTCTTATTTTGTAGACCAATCCCCGGGCTGATCCTGCTGCTTGTGTCTAACTTGATCAAGCTTTTTTTGAAATACCTCCAAGGGCGGAGAGACAGAGAAGGGGCGGAGACAGGGGCACCTCCCTGACTACATCACTCCAGTATTCAGCCATTACTTCATGTACAATCTCAGGAAAAATACATACACACCATGAAAAACCGGAACAAAGCACAACATGCTGTATTAAATGTGTCTTTAAATATCGGCAAAAGTATGTTCATTTATGAATTTGTGATGTTTTGGGGGCTTCCTTATGTGTCCCTGGAAAGAGTCATTGATTGGTTGCATTTGAATTATTGCCCGCCCCCATTGTTCCCCATTCCATGTTGGGATAGGACCATCCCATTTATTACTTCTCTTTGGATAAGTTATGATTGGCTGATCTCAAAATAAGCCTCCTACCTACGAAAATATTTTGTTCATTATCCGAATTCTTTTATCAGAATTCATTTTAACCTAATTATTTATTCCGATGTTCTCAGTAAATGTGTAAATTAGCTTAGACCAGGGGTGTCAAAGTTCTATTGGGTCGGGGGTCGGATTTGTTCAAATGAGAGCTCAAGTGGGCCGGACTAATTTTGCAGACATCACTATAACTAAACACATGGATATATAGGCTAATGTATGATTGTATAGAAAACTTTAACATTAACATTAAGCAGAGGGGTTAACTCTGTCATTGCAAACTGCATGTTGGCACATGGAAATATTTAAATTTACCACATTACAGAAGACAACATCAATAATTGTGTTTTGTTTGAGATTATTATGTTATATTTAAATATTGCTGTTCAAGGTTATAGAAACTTTGACTCAGGTTATTCTACCTGCCCTGGGATCAGTGCATTGGAGAGAGAGAGAGAGAGAGAGAGAGAGAGAGAGAGAGACTTTAGATCTGTGTGTGTCAGGCCACAGCACAGTTTGCACTCGTTAAGGTTCATTACAGATAAAACCTGCTCACATGAATAAGCTGTCACAAACAAACGGAGTGTCTTTGATGCATCTTCGGGTATTTTAGTGTGAGGCATTATAAAATGATAACATGTTTCCAAACCAACAGACTTGAATTGATCCTTCAGCGTTGATCACTGCAGTCTGATCTGCTCCGTGTGGAGTTCACTTCTTCAACTAAGTAAACTCAGTTAAACGACTTTTAATAAGAGTCTGGCGGTCCGTTCTTCTACGTGTCCGCAATGTCGTAATCTAACTCTGTCACTGACTTTTTATGCGCCATGAATCTGTGCCATCTCCGTGCGCAATTCGAGGAAGCATTTTAGCGCTGCTCCATGGTTAAACCAGCGGACCTCTGTATGATTGGACAGCCTGTGCGTGATATCGTTTTTGGATAAGAATGAAATGTTCAGAATTTGTTTTATTTTTACGGTCTGATGAAAGCTGGTGATAAAGGTACAACTGCAGGCTACTGCATTTAGAAGTGAAGTCGCGCTGAAACATTTAGGTGATCAACACGTTCAACTCTGGGTGAGCTAAAAATGAACCATCTGTAATTAAAATCAATTAACATTCATTTTAATTTACTTTTTTTTTTTTTTTTTTACAATAACCAGAGGTAAAAGAAGTCGGGAGATGCATCAGGCTCAATGTCTGGATGTGAGGAGACGGTCTGGGCCGTTACGCATGGCGGAGAGGATTGTTTTTTATTTGCACGAGCTGCTCTTTGTGGCTCACTCCATAGGAAGCTTTGTTATTATTAGTCAAACTTTTGTTTTACGTCAGTCAAGACAGGAGAAATTGGTAAGAAGTGTGGACAGAACTGAAGACCGCCATGATGCGTGCGCAGTGCAGCGGTTAAGTCCCGTAGCTTTGATGAAATTCTGGCAACTTATGAGCAAATAAAACTAAAGAAATATCGCTCCTTCGATCTCTCTTGAAACCCTGCATTCTGTGTCACCTCTCTCAGGTGTTCAGCCTGTTTGCTGATTAGGGTCATATGTCTGACATCCCTGGTTTAGACAAAATAAGCTTCCTGAAAGATAACAAAAACCTTAGTCGGCTCTATGACATGTTTTCTTTTCTATTAATTCTATTAAAGATCTTATTATTTTGAATTTCATTTCAGTCGACAGAAAATCTTCAGTTTGTGTATAGCTAAAGCATGCTTTTGCAAAACATGCCATTTGTTTCAGACAAAATGAATGCCACAACAAAGCTACCTTTTCAAAGGTAGTACAACAATGCACACCTTCCCTTTGTTTGTATCTTTTCAGAGAGTAGCTTTTCATCATAAGAACATTATAAAAAGGAATAATCACTTGACTATTGAAGATATACATTGAAAGAAAGAAATAGCTATTATACCATATACACCTATTCAACTGGTGAAATTATTTCAATAAAACAATTCAAAAGTCACAAACAACCTACTGTTAAGAATATGTGCTGTTTTTGGTTTGTCACAAGACTTTTGAATTAATTGTAGCACATAGATTGCATCTTTTATTGAGGTGATGTGATGCCCTTCCACAGCCAGTAAGTCTTAAAGCTTGCATGAAACTGTTTCAGCTTCTGATTTCAGAGTTTGTTTGTAACCATCCAGGATACTAAGTAGGCCTAGCTGTGGTTTTGTTGGAAATAAGGTGGCGAGATAAAAATGATGAACATTAACAAAAGCCCTGAGATGGAATTCGCATTTACTTTAAGTTGCAATAATATAAGCTATCAAATCCTAATTTAATCCTTGTAATAACACAAATAGCTTTTACATTAAAGTATTGAATAGACTTATTTTCTTAGTATTATAACAATAAGCATAGGTCACATAGGCGACAACATTATTGACTTTACAAAAATCCAGTGAATAATCATGTTATAATTATAGTTTAAAAATAATTATATTTATATAATAATAATACAATACTAACATATCTACTACTATGTGGGAGGCTACTATTGTTAATATTTTATTATTATTTTTGTTTTTGTTATTATTATTATTAATTATTAGTTAATAGTTATTATGATCAACGTAGATATTTAATAATGTAATCATTTGAACAACACAGGATAGGAACCTTGTGCGCTATGTTTTCGGGGGGGCGGTAATAAAAGGTAACTCAAAACATTCTGACGTTTCCATGGAAGCCCACCAATGTCACAAAACGGCCGATCTATGATAGCTAACACAATCCGAAGGCTACACAAATGAATCTGTGCAATTATATACATAGCTAGCTCGGAGACGATAACAGTCGCACACAGACATCTCCAGTTTGTTCGTTATTTCAACACTAACTCCGGAAAGGACGAGCAGAATGAACCGGTTTAATGTCGCCGTCCCCGTCGACGAATACCTCTGTATGTCCTGTTATCTTCTCCGCTTATACTGATGGAATTACCATGTGCTATTTGTTGCCTATCCACCAATTTGTCTTATTCATTTCTTTGCTAGTTAATTGATTTCAGCAAACTATAGCAGCTCTGTAGTTTGTGTATTTATCCGTTTGTGTTTTTCTCCAGCCGACAGTAATGTGTTGTTTTACCTGAGTGATGCAGTGACCCAGCTGCTGGAACATAAAGAGGAATACACGCAGTTTGGAGTGGTCCGCTACTTTGCTGAATAGTACACACACACACACACACACACACACACACACACACACACACACACACACACACACACACACACACACATAAACAAGTCTCCTATAGTCTTGTTGTCACTCATTTCTGTCTTTTCTTTCTCAATGTCATTTGTAAAAAAAAGAAATTACCTTTATCTCTATGCATGCGGGTGTAATCAGGCCCTCAGGAGTGCTGCCTCTGTCTAAACACTTTACTTATGTGTGTGTGTGTTTGTAGCTTCAGCAGCGTGAAGAACAGTAACCATGTCCTCTTCAGAGAGTATAACTACATTAAGGCGACTCCTCATAACAGAGCCTCCTTCATCAGAGTCTTCTGGAGATGCTACAGGCAGATCGGCAAGAGTGGGGGTAAGAGAGAGTCAAAAAGAATGAGAATGGAATCGAGATTACTACTTTGATGAAAGTCATATATAAATGTTTTTCCTCTGTGTATGGCTTGTTTTTTTTTTTTTTTTAACATCATGTGTAAAGTCCTAGTTGTTAGAGACTTCCAGTGAAAATCAAGTCAGTCAATTAAACAATCTGTCTTACGATGATCACCGAGGTTTATTCTGTGAGTGAAGTGAGTTTCATGTTTTGTTGTTCTGCAGACTTACTATCCATGCACGAGTACAGGTCTCTGCTGCAGTTATTGTGTCCAGACTTCCCAGCAGAGATGGTGCAAAGCGCAGCCAGGTAAGTGCACTGACAGCCAATAAAAACCAACACACAAAAAAAAAATACTTTAACAATCACAAATAAATACGTCCTGTTTTTATTATGGGCAAAAACATCAAACACGTTGCAGCAATACGCTGTCATCAGCATAATCAGGACAGCATCAGAAGTCTCTCATCATATGAGCAGGTACAGTCAACCCCACAATCAGCGAAGAGAAATAAAAAAAAAAGTTCAAGAGAAGCTTCCTCTCTTAATCAGGAAAGTGTGACCTTGATGATGTGAAACCACAATAGAGTGTCTCAAGCTAGAAATACACGAATAGAATGTCCAAAACCAGTGAAATAAAGTCAATGTTTCTATATGGAGATATATTATAAAGATAACTGAAAGATAACATAAATGAATATACCAATGACAGATTTTCTTTTTAATTATGAAGAAAAAATAACATGATGTACAAAGAATGACATGGCAGATCTTTATTTAAAATGTTGAACATGCAGCTCCTACAGCAGAGCCAGAACCTACTCTATACTAAAAGAACAAATCAGGACCTGGACGATTAAGCTTTGCAACTTAATACATTGCACTGATTGTGTTGTGCCTTCAGAGTATGGCATGGATCAGTGATCTGTTGTCCTTTTTGAAAATGGAAAATAGTAAATGGACTTGAGCTTGTATAGAGCTTATCTAGCCTTCTGACTACTCAGAGTGTTTTTACACTGCAGGTCACACCTACACATTCACACACTGATGGCAGAGGTTGCTATGTAAAGTGACCATCAATATCAACTAATCCCATTCATACACATTTATATGCTGACGACAAAGCAGCAAGAGCAAGTTGGGGTTAAGTGTCTTGCCCAAGGACACATCATACATGTAGCTGCATGAGCTGGGGAGTGAACCCCTGACCTTCTGGTTAGGAGACGACCGAGTCTACCTACTGAGCCACAGCCTTGGCTCAGTTCTATTTTGTTTTGACTGTATTTCTTTGCGTGTAGTGGTTCTGTTGGCGTTTGGTATTTTAATGCTCAGAACACAAGAGGACTAAATCTGCTGTCAGTTTAACTGTTCACTTTTTTTTTCTTTTTGGTCCTTTAGAATTGTTTTGATGGACGACGCCATAGACTGCCTGATGTCTTTCTCTGATTTCCTCTATGCCTTCCAACTGCAGTTCTACTACCAAGGTACCATGGAAACCACTGATTCTTATTGGTTATGGCTCACATCCTCATTAGCGTGTACATTGAGGATGAGCATTCAGTTCTACTTGTTTCTAAAAAGAATCTCTTTTTAAAGTGATGCTCTACGGTTTGATTCCGAGTCAGTTATTCTGATAGGAGTAATTAAGAGCAGCAGTATGTTATCCAAATGTTTCATATGACTCAGTTCTTACTCATTGTTGATTAAATGGTTGTAGGATGCAGAACATTGAGTTATCTTAGGTAGAAATAATCTGAATTAATTTAAATCAAACATTAAAAAAAACCTCGCTGTGTGTGTGTGTGTGTGTGTGTAGAATTCTTGGACAGCGTGCTCGTGATCTACCAGGATCTGTTATCAGGGAAGAGTCCAAACACTGTCATCGTCCCCACATCGGCCTCCATCGAGCAGCTCCCCTCCGTGGCTGCAGAGGAGAACGAAAAGGAGGAGCAGCAGCAGGACGGGGTGGAGTCTTCCACTCTGGCTCAGTGTGTAGACGACCTGTGTGACAGGTTTAAACTCAGGTAAGAGGATACACACACACACACACACACGTTTGAACGTTAATAAAACTGTCAATATTATTAATAAAAGGGTTTGACATTATAACTGGCATGATGAAAAACTCTGGGCCAGCTGATTGCACATTCCACCGGCCTGCTCGGGCCAGTTAAAATACTGCCTTAATAAGAAATGTAAAAACGGTAGCACATAAGTTATTTTGTTTTCCTGTAATACTGGTGTTTTGTTGGTGATTCTCAGGAGACTATCTGGTTACTTACTGCTACAACATCAACATTTTATAAGAGCACGCGTGTGTCACAGTTGAAAGGCAGCTTCACTGTCAAAACTACTGTGAGCAACGAGAATATTCTTATTATGTTCTCCTCAAAATCCAAATACATGTCCATCATTCTGAAATATATATGACATTCTCAAGTTTATTCACTATAGACTATTTATATATATAACAGAAAAAAGTGAGATTATTAGGAAAAGTTTTAAAATCAATTACTTTTGCATCAGATTGGTTCATTTTCTAAACTCTTGACTTTTATTATTATTTAAAACCAGTGGCACAGAGAGTCAGTGGCAAATGTCACTTAAAGTCAACTCCTGAAAATGGAGTTGTTAAGTATGTCTTCTTGCATGTTTAAATGTGAAAATACATGTATTGCACTTTATGGACCCGTCTTTATTTGAATCCAGTATATTTATTAAATTGCTTTACATTTCAGTTTACATCAAACAAGTTTTATTTTGTGACTTTAAAAGAACTGTGCTTAAATGTCCCTCTGGATTTTCTCATTTTGACCCCAGTTTAGCGAAGCTCTGACAACTTCTTAGATTACATTAATATTTAATTCTGCAACTAAGCTTAACTGTGGTTAATGAGATAAAGAGTTGTTTTTTATGGTTGATTATGAAAATGAAATAAATGAATTCAGATTATTTGAATTTAGATGAATTTCCTGGCTTAGTTCCATCTTTGAGTTGAACAATGACTTTAGTCTCTGCATTTAAGTGTCATCAGTTCCTTCTCTCTCTCTCTCTCTCTCTCTCTCTCTCTCTGTGTGTGTGTGTGTAGTCATCCTCCAAGGTCCTGTATGAGGGAAGCACTGGAACAGGTGGACAAAGTTTCTTACTACAGCTTCCTGATGAGCATGGCTAAACATGAGACCATCAACCAGACAATCGGTATTTAACATTTGAACACAACAACACTGTATTATTACTCTAACTATTTCTAGAGATTATTTTAAAATGAGGTTGTTAAGTGTTTAACTCGATTCAGACCTGACTACCTGCAAACTCAACTTCATCTAACAGATTAAATCATTTTGATTAGCCAGAATGCTCTGGGTTTATCACCACATGGAGGTGCTTTTAAATCAGAATTATGACGTTTTCAAATTCAGGGAATTTGTATGAATGAAGCTCTAACAGTTTCCTCCCTCCTCTGTAGGAGCGCTACCCAGCAAGGCAGAGCTGCTCATTGACCCAGAGATGGACCAGGAACTTGACAAGCTGTAAGAGCAGACAAACACACACACTTGAACATGCACAAATACACAGCTTTTCACACACACTGTATATAATACTGTACAAAACTGTACTGTCCTACAGGTTGAGTGTAAGATGACAAACCAACTAATTTTTAAATTCTCTTCTTTGATTCCTGTCTTGTTTTTGTTTTTTTCCTTTTCCTCCTCCTCTAATGTTCCTTGATCAACATCTCTTATCTTGTCCCGTGTTTCCAGCATCGCCCAGATCTCAGTGAGTCCTGGCAGCAACAGCAGTGGCAGCGCTGTGGGGGCACTGAAGGAGGTGCAGAGGAAGGCCTCCCCCAGGAGGAACATTCACCACAGGAGGAGGATGGAGGTGGAAAGTGACGGCTCCACAGAAGAGACAGACTCCTCTGAAAACTGACCTGTGACGTGTAAACTTCCATTGTAGGTCCAGATCTCAGGATGTCTGCATAGCATACATCATATTAAACCTCTAATCTGCAGAGGTGGAAAAGCGCACATTGAGACCCAAGAAGAAGAAAACACTTCACACAACTAGTGAAAAAAAGTCCAGTTAAGCTGTGAGGTATTCAGAGTAGTTCCTGTATACTTACCCAGGCACTATTACTTATATGTGTTTGGTATAGAGAGATCTGGAATTACTCCTTTATATTGATAAGGCTGTTTCTGCATACAGGCCGTAATAGCTGCCAAGTAATCCTTTGCGGCAAAACCATTTCATTTAAAACCAGAAAAAAACTTTTGCATGGCTCCCCTCAAAGCTACCAGACTCCACTGACCATGTTGAATACAGAATTATTGTCAACTGCTGCACCAGTAAAACATTTTTGTTATGCACTTTAGCTTCACTGTGGATGCTTTGAATTGTTGTCTCTGTCTGCACTGTTTAGTTTTGAATATAAATGTTGTCACTCCAAACAGAACTTCAGTCTAACCCTTATTTTTATGTTGTTTATGTTATGTGTTGCCATCATGAATATATGTGATTGTATAAAGAGTGATATCAAGTTGGATGTAAACTTAGCAGCTAGTGCTCTGTGATTAGTATTAACCATCTTGATCTTGTGTTTGCGTCATGCTTGAGAAGCTTCTGAAACGTCATCACTGAATAACCACAACTAAACTATTGCTGTAATGAAACTTCCTATTATGAAGTGCGACAAGGTAAGTACCTGTCTCCTTACACAGAAATAGGAATAAAAGAAAGAAACCACCTATTGAATATAAATCCTCCTTGAATTAAAAAAAGCTTCACTTGATGTAAACAAACAAAAAATACTTATTAGCTTTTCATCATGCACTAACTGCATTAATCTGCTGGGTAAAATGTTAAGTGTTGAGAGAGGATTAATGGTGCAGAAATAAAATAAATAGGGATATTTCTTTATTTAAACATGGATGTTCTCTTATCACCTTTTATCTTTTAGAAAAGGTAACATATTTTCGGGATTTTCGGGAAGGTAAAGATACCTAGATGTTAAAGAGACATGAGTTCAAAATGTCCTTAAATCAATGACCTCATAGGATCACTGAGCTGCACTCTCCCACCTTTGTAAAGTTAATCGAACAAGTTTTGCTGTGGTTCTGTTTTGGCCGATGAGAACTAATCCTCTTTTTAGCTGTTGTGGAACTGTTTGAGGATGTATATCAGCTGTTCCTTCTAAAGCTTTTAATGACTTTTAATTCTAAGGGAATTATCATTTTTACTTTATAACATATTCCACACATTATGATGGCTAATTCTTTGAGTGTTTTTCCATGTAAGCCTTCACCTAGTTTTACAGTACTCTTTCTTCCTTAAATTCTCAAATTGTTACATTTCCATATTCCTGATTAATAGGTCGTTGGGAGGGTTTTTACTGCTCATTTAAACTGGAAACAAATAGTAACACGGGTAAGGGATTAAAATGCCGTGTTGTTAGTATAAAAGGCAATTTCCTAGTGTATTCCAGCCAGTAGATGGCAGTGTAGCTACAGATTTACTAAAAGGTTGAAACAATTAGACAACATCAGAAATGCATAAATGTATTTATTTTCCTCAGACCATTACAATGGCGAATTCTGTTCAGATTATTTGTCTTTTGAAGTATCATTCAATCTTTCTTTATAAATATGGAAATATGTACTTTTAGTTTTTAATCATTTTGTTTTACATGTTTATTATATAAATCCTTGTCATATTGAATATTTTTCTGTATGGAAGCCCGGAGGGATAAGAAAGAAAAAATAATTTAGGGTGATTTGTTTTTCGTATCTTAATACTGCAATACTCTTTTCAGTCACAAGAAGCTGACTGTTCTTAGCACTAAGAGCCCTGATGCTGGATACCTTCACACAAGAGCAAACTGAATCAATGTTGTGTTCCTCTGAGCTGTTGCTTTGTTTACGTTTTTAAACACTATAATTAATGCAAGTGAAACTTTGCAAACACACCAACATAAGCATCCTTATGAATGTGTTCATAGTATTTAACACATAACCTTTTTTAGGAGGATGGGAACAAGCCGTATGCGATCCACCAATTTCACTGTGTTTTTGAAAATATGAATCCTCTTATGTGAATAAGAAATCTTAAAACGTAAAAAATATGGATTGTTAAAGGTCACATTTTAAACAACTTTAAATAAGTCTCAGAGAAAAATATATTTTTTTACAACTGAAAGTACTAACAAAAGAAATATACTACATTAGCTCGTGAAGAAAACTATCAGCAGCCTGTTGAAAACTGACAGAATAGTGGAAGTCAACTTAATAGGCAAATAGCCAATATAGCAAATATGGCTTTTGGGGTGGCCAATAAGATTTTCAATGCCCCTGGCCCTCCCTCTGGCCACGCCCCTTGTATGTGACCATTCACTAAATGTCAATTTCTCAAGTTTTCTTCTCCAACAGATTCATGTCAGGCCTTTTAAATCAAATGAATTTCAGAATTATGGATAAAGTCTTGAAAACGTACATTTGATACAAAAAAGAAGAATATCAGTTGATACCTACAAAAGAACATGGGCTTTCTGTGCATTTGTAAACGTGATTTATTGACAAGAATAACCACCATGGTACTGACACGTCTGTGCATCTTCTGAGCGTTTTCATTTTACAACATTGATATCATGCGGTGTTACACCCAGGTTTTGCTCAAACCTACAGCATACAATAATAACTCCTTTACAACCAAACATACATACATACATAGGTACATACATACAGGATATAGCTATGTTAATGAGTCATGTACAATAGATCCCCTCGGTGTTAGAATCACAAAAGTTGAATTCATAAAAAGGACACTTTCTGGTGGATCAGAACTACTCCCTGTGGTGCACCAGACATGGCTGCCATGAAGATGAACATATGGAGCATACTGTAAAATAGTGAATTCCTCTATTAAATGTTGAAGTCTGCCATCAATCATAGAGCAAACTGAACTTTTCATACTTTGACAATGTAACATTCCCGTTGCAGTAAAATATAATTTAAGATCAATCTAAAATAATGAATGGCAGTGTGTCCAATGTTAAAGGTTCAGCAAATATCAATATCCATACTCTGCATGTCTCTTAGACATTCAGGACCTTTCAACCTTTTGGCTTGTACGATTATCCTTCCTTGGCTACAAAAGCAGTCAGATCATGGGACAAAGATTTTTCCAGAAAAAACTCAGTAAAGACTTTTAATGCTGCTTCAACTAAAAGCAGCTGTAAACCTAATCAACAACTAAAGTCTGAGTCTCACCAAAATGTTGCTTTATAATAACTTAAGATAAATGACGTTCAATAGCAATACTGACCAGTTCTAAAGTAACTATGGGAACAACCAAACATCATTAGACAACTTACTGACTGAGAGACAAGCTCTGTAAACCTGTTCAACCCATAATGGGGCCATATATTAGCTCTATTGAGTGTCATTACAGTATTTCATGTCCATGGCAGCCATCATTGGTGTACTAAGTCCTATCCTTTACATAACTACTCATGAGACTGGCCGTTGTATCCATTTCTGTTCTGTGATTTGGAGATATCTGAATTCAACAGTAAATACTGAGGACAGTCATACTCACTATACACCAGAAAAAAAAATTAGGCACTGTATTTTTTCAAAACATAAAATATGTCATGGTAATTTTCCATTGGCTTTGTCTGCTCAAATCTCCTCATATTCTATAGTTATACTGCTTTTGAGGATGCATTCTGATTGGCCCGAATTCTAAGTCAAAGGACCCTTTTCAAATGATCTCTTGCACATTACTGTAAAGTGCATGGTACAGGTGTGTCCAGTTGCACTTTTGTTGGTGAACAGTGCATAATCTGAGCACAGTGTAAGGCGCAGAGGCATTGCAGATAGTCTATTTAAGTGTGTTAGTACAAAATAGAGGGGTTGTTAACCTGCTACAAAGGCGCATCTTACTATTTAGAAATGTGCCCTTAAAATTGCAGGACAACACTGCACCATTTCCTTTTACACCAGGTTTTTACCGGTCAGATGCTTTCCACTACCTTAAGACAGCAATGCACCTACAATTAACCTGACCAGACTGTATTGTATAACTGACAATCCCATTGGCATGAGATGGTTTGAAGTAGATTTTCTACTCAGCATTAAAACTTACAACTGCGTTGGTCTGACGACAACAACGGCAAATGAGCTTTACTGTGCACCACTCAGTGGCTGGTATAAAGGCCTAAAGGAGCCTGGAGGGGCCTACAGTTCAAATTCTGGATCTTAAAGCTGCACTAATTAATATTTCAATCTTTTGGGGAAAGTAGGATCAGCTAAAATACTGCACAACAGTATCAGAGCACGCATGGCTGATGTGTTTGGAATATTTGTCCATTTAGACACCAAACACTTTCATTGTTCTGAGTCATGTCTAGATGACCTGGTATTAAATCTGAAGTACTGGAGCTTTTTAGCTGGAAATAGTTGCCTGCTAGTAGAGACAAGGATTGAGGGGTGTATATGTGTGCAGGGAAACCAAGACAATTGTCCAAAAGACATGAAAAAATCTCATTAAAACTGAAGGCAACTGCATTGTTGGACACTTATGCTCTGTAGGGTCGACCACAATAAGCATCCCTGTTAACAAAGTCACATGATCTGTTGAGGTAAAAAAAATATTGATTGGTGCAGCTTTAAGTCTGGAGCTAATGGAGGAAGTGAATGGAAATTGAAATCCTTCTTTGGCCAACTAGGACAGATTTTTGGGTTAGATTTTGTGGATACGGTTTTAAAAGCCAAGTTTCCGTATAAAACATACATACTGTATTAACATCTAATATCAGTGTGTTTTTGTTCATTTGACCATGACTGTGGACCTAGATTTGAGCAGGCAAAACTAAAGAAATGTGAACTTAAGAAAGTGCTGAGGACAGACTCGGACATGACAGCACAGCGATCCATCATCCTCACAGTCTGTTGTTTTGCACACACAGTCACGCACTAAATTGCACAGCGTCATTTGGGCCTGGTTAGTACACAGAGTTAATGGAATCATGTCTTTGCTCAACCAGAGAAACCCTGCATGGAACCACGTGTGGAAGAAAAGGAACATGAAGCAGCAAAAAGAGAAATGAGGCACCTTCACAGCAACTCCAAACGACTCCAGCAGTAGATTGTCAGGGCTTGGGCTTTTAAGATACAGATAAATATACTCTATATAACATTTTTGGAAACATCATTCTGTCCTCATCCGTGCAAAAGAAAAACCAAGCAGGTTAATTGGTTTATAATACATTTCTTCAGAGCGCTGCCTTTTATACTGAAGTGGGAATTGTTTATATTAAGAAGAAGCCCTTTTTAGTAATATATCAAGTATGACGGTAATTTAAAGACAGAAGATTTAGGTTCAAATGCAAGCATTGTCCGATGAGCTTTATCCTATTTTAGAATCCAGTTTAATGAATTAAGCAACCATTTGTTGCTGTTACATAGACAGATTTTTTAAAAAGGTTTTTTATTTTTACAAAGAAGTCTGTGTTGGCTGTGTTCAGACCAAAAGCGAGGCAACTTATCATTTGATTAATGTTATTCTACAAATCACATGCAAAAAATAATAACTGTGTTTTTGACATTATCATGTAAATCATTAAAAATGTGCAATCCAGTGATAGAATCATGTCTTATGATTTCAAAAGAACAGTTAATACAACCTCCAAAATTAGTTAGATTTGTTAACTTGTCCTCTTGCAGAGAAACTGAAAATTGCATGAATTTTTTCTTGATTTTACACATTTGCAATATGATGTAGCATTTTTCTGCATTATTCCTTCTTGATTATTGTAGTTAAATTGCACATAAATCTTTTGATTGTGTTTTTATACCGACATAATTTGCCAGAGTTCTGTTGACATGTGACTAGCTATACTGTATAGGTGTAGTGGTGTAGTTCAACTGCAGCTTCATAGAGATAGATGGACAGAGGTTCTGCAACTGCACACAATGCCAGAGGTTTGTGTTTATCTGTTATCCAGGTAACACGCTGAGTCCAGGGTGATCTAACAGGTGTGATGTGTCTCCTGCTTTCTTGCACTATACCCTATTGTTTATATAGAAGACAGACTCAAAGGACAGAAGAAACACCTAGCTGTGCGAGTGTCACCCAGCTGGGTGAGGGGTTACTGCCCTTTTTGATGTCACAAAGGGAAAATCTCCAAACGGTCTGTCTGAGCACACATTTTCTGAAAAGAGGAGAAAAGACGGAGAGGATGGACTTTTCCCATAATTGGGGGGGTTTGTCGACAGGTGAGAGACACATATTAGTGTTAGAAAAAAAATTGTAAAGTGTATTTTATATGATACGGGATCATATAAGTAACGTTAATCCAGACATAGTTTTTTGGGAAGGCGATGAAATGAAAAAGCTGGGTGCCTATAAATAATGTTTTGAAACCAGACACAACAGGGCCTGGTAATTCTGTCATACCAATATAAATAAAAACAAGTCATCCCAAAATGATGAAATACAAATACTGAGGTAAAACTTTGCTTTGCTTTTGGTATGAACACAACTTTCATAAATAACTAAATTTAGCTACAGTTTCTTTCAAAATATGCAAGCCAATTTCCTTGTGGTTCACATATTTACAAGACCTTTGCATATAAATTCACTGGTTTGCACACTGGAATAAATATTCTGAGCTTTTTAGAATTGGTTTTGAACTCGAGCTGCAGAGATAGACACTTGTGCCCTGACATAAAATAAGACTAAACGTTATTAGTGTATTTGTCCATTTAAAATGTAAAAGGGTTTAGCTTACCTCACTGAATGGCTATATTAAAATATTGGTTTACAAATAGTAAAAATATATCATATTTAGACAATAAATTTTTATATTTTGCCATAAATCTTTGATGACATTTTTTGTCCCAGAAGTTGAAATCCTTGTGAATTTAGCGTTCGACCATTATTACCATCTTATTTTTTTGGTTAATGTTTTATTTCATTGATTAGTTGCCAAACTGACTCTGCAAGCCCAAACACTATGTTCTAAATATTCTGTCAATAAATTACCTCCATCATCCTGAAGGCTATCCCTACTGTTTTACATCAAATACTTACCTGTCAGTAATTTTAGCTCGTAAAATATATCACTATCAAATATTTGCATTTGTTTTTGGGGAGGTCTATGTTACATTTGCTCTCATAGTCAGGAACAGCTTGTTTGATCCTATCCATCCAAAGAGGTTTTTCTATTGTGACACGGCCAAAGGAAGGAGAAGATTGCTGTATCACTGGATGCCACTAAGAAAAGAAATCCACCATGCACGGAGATATATCTGTGATCCAGTTTGTGGTGTAAGACTGGGCTTACATGCACATAGTGAGTATTCAGTACATCGTGTGAGAGGGGGGCAGGTGTTATTCAATGAAGATGTCTTCAGTGGGACAGGAGTAACCGACGTGTTGTTTGTAATACTGCTGGAAGGCCTTCCTGTAGGACAACACAAGAGGGAAACAGAAGATTAGAGGAGATTTTTTTTCTCACAAACCTTAGCCCTAGTTTTACATAAAGGCTAAGAGACAAAAATGTACAAAAAAAGAGGGTAAATGTATCTGATTTAAGCACACCCACGTTTTATAGCCACAGCAGCTGTTGCATTGCTCTCCTTAAAACCAACAGACTCCATTTACAAAACCACTCATTTTACCTTTATTTCTTATTATGTGGCAATGTGCTGATCTACTGCTGACTTGACCAGTACATTTCTTTGTGTTATTGTGCTTTATTCTTGCCAAGCCAAGCTTTAAACAAAATGTTACACATCATAGTATTTGAACATGCAACACACACATAGGCTGAAATACACACACATGCACAAACAGGATCCTATGGACATGCACTAATGGAGAGGTGTCAGAGTGAGGGGGCTGCCCACAGCGAGCACTACTGAGCGCATGGACGTTCGGTGGCTAGCTTAGGGGCACCTCGGCTCATCGCCTTCCCAAAAAACTCAGGAAGTGCTCAGGAAGTGAACTAGCACCTCTCCATCTAAACCAGAGCAATTTCCAGACTTGATCCGTTCCAGTTCACTAAGCAAGTTAAAGCAAGTTGAACTAAGCCACCCCATGATACAAAAAAAGTTTCAAAAATAAATAAAAAATACAATTCAGTAGGCTGTTGACCTGCAGTTTGTGTTGTACAATGAAGAAGTACTTTTTTGTAGTTGTAGTCTGGTGGCATTGCAGAGAGACTTTAATGCCTGTTTCAGATATTGTGATGTTATCTCAAGCTGCAGTGTGTTGAGCTTTTAGGGGCACTGTACGAACTTCTCAAAAAGAGTCATCAACAGCCAAGAAAGAAGCTGCATCAGCAACAGCTCAGCTGTTTTGGGTTACAATCCCCTCCAATGCAGATATTTCCATGATATGAGTGCCTTCATTTAGTTTGTCCTTTTTAGGGACAAAGTTTTGAGATATCTGTTTCCGAGATCTGTGCCTCAATCCAGACTAAATGGAGGTGAACAGAAGTTTGTTTGATGTGGTTAGAGCTTTAAAAAACTTCAGCATAACTCCCAAAAACGAACAATTTACAGTTTAGGTTAGTTAGTTTAACTACTTTCTAATTAAGATTAAGTCCCATGTTGTCAGTTTTGTGTTTCACTCCTGTGCTACATGGACAGAACGCCCTCAGTCAGAAAATAGGTGATAAATATCTATTACCATGACAAAGGCCTTACCCTACAGACACAGCCAGAGGATACAACGTTGTCTCTGACATCATCACATGACAAGCAAAGCGTTGTTGGTCAGGATGCTTGGTGATGAAACCAAAATACCTGCAACACAATACCAGGGAGAAACACGCGGTTAAGACTTAATACAAAACTTTTTCGAAATAAAACAAGTGCTTAGGAAGAAGCAAGAAGCTTAAATGTGTGTATTTGTCATTAGAAAAAATGCCAGTAAACAATTCATCAAGCTTTACTGGCATGAATGCAACAAAGAGAACATTGCTAAAGCATCAAATAGAAAATACAATAACAATAGCAATTATAGTATATAAATGAAACTAATATTAATGGATGATGTCATGATGCAAATTGTAACAATCAGATATTCAAGCATTTTGGAATTTCTTAATAGGCAAATATATTGAATTAAAAACTCTCTTCAGTAGTTCCACTCACTTGCTGTGTTTTGGGTGACAGCCACAGAAGGAGATGTTCTTCAACTGGAAGAAATGGAAACACTGGTCCCCCTGTGATAGAGATAAATAATCAAAGTTATAATCCTTCAAGTCTTTAGCTGGTGTTTGTTTGTCTGCTAACATCATGTCATAAGTTAAGCAAGTAGTATTCATAGTTTGCATGAGGTGTTTTGAGACCAAACAGGTGAAGAGGAACTATCCACTAAGAAGTGTCCTGAGAACTACACACTCTGAAGCGGGAACTAAAAAGGTTTTAATTAATCGGGTTCTAGGAACTATCAGAAAATGCCCATTATAATTACTTTTTGAGTTACTTCTGACCAACTCACTAAACATTTTGATTACCTGCTGTAGCATTTTAGCCATACTGTATTTGAAAGGATTTGACACTTAAAAGGAAGGAGTAACATAGTAGTTAAAGTAGTGCACTCTCACCCTGTGCGCGGAGTGACACTGGTCCTGGACGGTGATCTTTACACCCTTCACATTGACCTCCAGCACACAGTTTGGAGGAGGCTGACCTGTGGACCGCCTGTTACACGCCACCTGTTCACACAAATGATCAGAGAATCAGTCAGTCACATAACTGGAGTAGTCTGTAGTGTTTGGAAGTAGTTCAAACAAGCTGCTGTCTGACCATTTTGTAATCAAAAATAGTGTTCATAGTGTTACTTGTAGCTGGAGTAAAAGTAGGCCATTGTAGATGAGGTAATTGAGCACTATATTTGAGGGACTACTTTACTCAAGAAACTGAAAATGATTTTTTTCTTATTCAAATGCTGGGAGAGCGTCACAAAAGGAAGTACAACCATCTTGTAGAAATACACTAGCATTTTAAGAAAGCTATTTTACTTCTTTTAAATATATTTTATTTGTTGGCCTGTTTTGCCTTTATTAGGAAGGACAGCTGAAGAGAGACAGGAAATGTAGGGGAAGACATGTAGCCAAGGGCAGAGGTTGGGTTTGACCAGCAGCCACTGTGAGGAGGACTACAGCCTCTGTACATGTGGCGCGCAACACAACCACTAGCCTATCCACTTTTAGTTACTGGACTTTAACCTCTCCACCACATTAAGGGGCAGAGAGGGTCCATCAGAGCTCACCATCTTACTCTGCCCTGAGCCCAGTGATTATCATTTCACCACAGAGATTCATAAAATTCCATCTTATTCAACTAAGTGCTTCAAGTTGATAGTAAAATGTAGAACGTGAAGTGAACAAAGTGTGTCCATTATACTTTGAGCTTAAGTAGCCAGCTCTGTGCTTTAATGTCCTTATGCAGGATTAAGAGCCAGTGAAGGATTTCGAGAAAACACAGTGTTGAGCTGAAACAGGCACAGCTCTCTTCTAACTTACAACTCTAAGCATATATTGGTCCTGTGTTGGAAGTAAAGTAAGTACGTTTCTAGTAAAATGTTAGCGTGTTCAGAAGCTAATTAAGACATTTTATTAACAGAAAAAACACAAGAGCAAACATGTGGTTCTATAAAAGTAAGACAAAAAGACTGAGAATGTTTCCCATTTGATGTGTTTAAGGAAATGTAATTTGGAAATGGGGTTGCATATAACAATTTCAATTTGTAAACTGAAAATAACTAAGAGAATACATTGCCTAAACAAAACAAAAAGTAACTAAAAGGCATAAGTATGCATACAGAAAATCAGGCACCATCAGTATTTACAGCAGAGGCCCCATTCAAGAGAATGTCTCAACTTATGTACAAAAATGTTTATTTCAGGGAACAAATTGACATTTGACCCCTCAAAAACCTTTAGTTCATGTAAACTTTTTGGCCCTGATTGAAAGAACATCCTTCGAGGCATTCTTGAGATATCTTAATATCTGACAATCTGATAATGGGGCAGTCAGACAAATGGGCTTACATCTGGGCTGATAGACTATTTAAAAATGTAATGCCTTTGGCTATCACTTTCAGTGACATCAGTGACATAACAAAACATAGACTGATGTTGTGCAATAACCTGCTGTTGTAACACTTTGCAGGGCGGTGAGGTGGGGGGCAAAAGCAGCAGACTTTACAAAACTATGAAAATTTCAAGCTGCAAATTCTAATAATCAATGTACAGTAAATCAGCTAGCTTATGGTAGCTACTGCTGCTTTGCAACACTATCGGACATATTTATCATTAAATCCTTATTATGAAACATATTTGAAATGGTCATGCATCCTGCTTAACCTGCAATCAGTACAGGAGGTTTAAGACACGATAAGTCACCAAATAGTTTTCTGTATGGACGTACCTTGTGCATTGCAGCACACAGCACGTCGTTGCCTGTATGGATGGGGACCTGAACTGAACCGAGGAATCTCACCATGAACTGCTCTGTCCAACCATCTCTTTGGACTGTGAGAAGGAAGGAGAATAAACATGTTTATAAAATGATGTTGATGATGGTGGTAATAATCTGTTTCTACAGACCAGTTTTTTTTTTTCTATGTACCTTGGTCACTATCTTTGGACACCTTGACAGCGTAGAAGGCAGGGAATATTCCAGTAGCTCCAGTCCTCATGTTGTAACCCTGACACCACAGGTCCTCACATTGGTTCAACACCAACACGGGGTCATCTGTCTCTAGGTGAAGCTCATCGACATGACGAGGGACAAACCTGAAAATCGGCATAAGAAAGTACACTTAACTTTGAATTTAGTTTATTTGGACAAGACACTATTCCTTTTGGAATGTTTATTTGTTTACCGGTAGGCAGCTCTGTGGCTCTGCTCTCTCTCCACTCCATCCAAAACACAGGAGAACATGCCGAATGATGCAGCCCCTGCAAGACACAGCATTGATTTTGTTCTAACAATAAACACAACAAAACAACTCATCCAAGTGTATGTGTCACATTTATTCCTTTATGAAAAAAACAGTAAAGTAGTCAAATTCTGACTGACTTAGTAATGGTTATGGTCTACGGGTGGTTATTGAAAAATTCTTAATTACATTATAATAGCCTTTCTTACTTCCTTCGTAGACAAGAATGAATGTAATTCAAACAAACTCTATGCATTTAAACATTGTCTTAATCACAGGAACTACATTCATTATGTCCTGAGATTGAAAAACCGACAAGGCAATAGCATGAGGCCTGCTGAGCCACTGTCCATTTTGACTAGTTTTAGTTTCTTGTGTTTCTTTTGTATTAAACATAACTATTTCTGCCCTCCAAGATATGCATGGGAGGAGATAATGCCTGTTACCTAATCAGTATACTAAAGGAGAATGCATCCCTACTGAGCTAAATTCATTCAAAACAGCCACATGCATACGGCCGGAAAAAAACATGTCCAATGGTAACTCTATTTGATTATCAGGGTGTTTGTTCTTCTTAAGGCAGGTGCTAGGTAGCTAATAGCTAGTTTCCATTAGATAACACAAGACGTAAACAGTGTCTCATTTTGGGGATAACATCTTTTGGTGGACTCAGTCTATGAAGGACCCAGCCTTGGCAGCCTGTGTGAACTGCTCAGGTTGAACTAAAATGTAATGATCTGGTCTATGGAAGATTCTCGTTTCCATCACCAGCTGTCACTGCCCTTACCTTTGTGGTTCTAAGTGCTGACCCTGTTGCAACCTTGACAGCTCCAGAACTAGCCGATCAAAATACCCTGATTAATCTGACCAACCAATTCATATAGAAATGTAGATTTATGAAGAGCAGAACACTGTCTTAATCTTCACAAATGAGCTAACAAACTTCAGAGCTTTTGATGCTTTGATATGTCATCGGTTTTCAAATTAACATATAATTTGAAGTAATGTTTAATTAGCGAGTAAAATCAAAATTCTGCAACGATATAAAGATATACATAGAGGTAATGTAAGAACTTGCACCCTCCCTACCTATTAACCTAAACAATGTGATGTTTTGTTTTTTGATTGGCCATTCTTTTAACTTTAGTTTCTTATCTTTTCTCTTTACGATCTGTACAGTACAAAAATGGAAGATGTAAACTGTTGATCAGAACGTCTAAAATAACTACTTTAATGGGTTAGCTGATCGTTGATAAAAACTCTGACTCTTTTGTTTACCTGTGGCACTGTAATTGCTGCCTTTGTTAGTAAATAGGTTGAGGAATTTCCTACTCCTGGAAGCTTCGGCTCTTCCTCCATTAGACTCTTCTTCCTCTGAGGTTATGGTCGATATGACTTTGGATTGCTTGCAGATTCTAGCCACAACTTCCCTCCTTCTCTTCACCTCCTCCTCCCTCCTCCTCTGCATATCTTCTTCCCTCCTCTTTTTGGACTCCTCCTCCTCAAGTCTCTGCTTTTCCTCCTCTTTTCTCCTTTCTTTAAGCATAGAAGAAGAAAAGATTAAACTTAAAGCAACATAAATCAACAACCAGGTCAACCAGGTTTGATTTCTATATCTACACAGTCATCTAGATCAATGTTATCTGTTTAGTGGTGTTCCACAAGGCATAGTATTGGGTCCTCTACTAGTTCCCTTTTTTACCCTATGTTTTGACTTTTTAAAAAAAAATACAAATGCATTATTGCTTACTAAAAATATTAATCAAGAAAATGCCTGTTTAAACACCGGCAGCATCTGTGAAAACAAGCAATAGTTGCGGTTGGACTCAATCTAATAGAGATACAAACAGCTTCCAGGCCAACAGTTTGTCTATTTCCTCCCCCAAAGTGAAGTTCTCTCCTGTGCATTACTAATTATATTTGAAGTTTAATTTGTCATTGTTCAACTTTTTCTTTATTGTTTGCCCATATAGTTGCCATCAATAACAATTCACAGAGACAGAGAAACACTACTTTATTTTCATTTACTCTCTCATGAGGATCACCCACTGTTGGTTTGAGGGATGCCTGTGATTTTGACATGGTTTTCAATCTCATTTCTATACCCAGTTTATAATACCAACAAAAAACTGTGAAGGCATGGGCTTTATATCAATGGGCCACAGGCTCCCTACACTGTTTTCCAAAGATAGACTTTGCTTGGACAGGCAAGCAAGGTGTGTTTGCCAACCATTTTTCATTTCTACCTTTCTAAGAAGGAAAACAAAAAACAGCCTGAAAATCATTCAATAAGATAATAATGAATTGCATAATTCATACATAGGGTGAGACGTCCTCTGGTACATCCCTTCCGTAGATTCATCAATTAAGCTGTGACCTATCATGTCAACTAAAGACAAACTTATGCTTGTGTTTGAAAAACTTGTTCTTGGTGCTGATGTCATTCCTCATCAGGTTTCCATTATTTTGATACACTGTGTCATTAAACAACTTCAACCACAAACTACTAGTCCATGGACTAGTACTGGCCGTAGCCCATTTTGAGCAAGCCTTCGAGCAAGCACTCAGAACTGTAACTTTCTGCCCTTTAACTCTATGATAAGAGTCTGAGAATCGGAGACTAACCTCAGTTGTTCTGGTTTAGGAAAATCAACATAGTGAAAAAGCAATCTTTACGAAGAAGTTAAACCACTTTCGTTACAACACACTACTGCTTTGTGGCAGAATTGGGCTCATCCTTCTAAGAAATCAATCTGTGTCATTACCTTCCTGCCTCGCTTCCTCTCTCCTCCTCCTCTCCTCCTTATACTCCGGGTCTTCCTCCTCATTGGCTGACTGATAGACTGTCTCTGCATCGCTGTCATCATTGTGCTCGTTGTAACCGTGCAAGCAGTCCTTGAGGCTGACCAGCTCCAATTGAGCATGTTCATCGACCACCAGAGTGTATTTAACAGAGTCATAATTTAAACCCGCTGAAGCTTCACTCTTTGGTACAGTCTGAGCACCCGCACACTCTTCCTTTGTGACAAGGTTGGTACGATGCACCTCAGACTTACCATCACCTCTTCCTCTCCCTGTGATAACCTCTGACTTTTTACAGCCCATCTCTCTGTTTTTGTTGCCGTCAAGGCAGCAGGTCGGACCATTCTGGATGTTCATGCAGGTAGTCGGATCTCCTTCCCCCTCTTCCTCAGTGATGTCAGGGTTGGCTCGGTGGGACAGAGACGGATTCAGGGGCCCTGGTGGGGGGCCCTCAGTGTCTGAGCTGAGGGACATTCTGTTTGAGCCTCCCTCACTGCTGGACCGGGAGAGAACAAGGGGATTGTCCTGAGTCCTGTCATGGTTTTGGCCTAGGAAAACAAAATTGGACAGATAGGGATAAGAATTATTTTTATTATTATTAATTAAAGGTATTCAGGGGTAAAAATCTGGATTCATCTAATAAAATGGGAATAGTTTGGAACTTTGGATCTATACCCTGGTTTAAATCATTTTATTGCATGACATAGATATATTACACTGAAAACATGTCCATGGAGAAGATTCTAAACACTTTTTTTTTTACAGGACTTCTTGTCATTTTGAATAGTTTTGTATTCAGCCCTCAAATGTCATTCTTTAATCAGCTTTGTGTCAGGTACCAGGCATAAAAAACACAGATTTACAGACCTCCTAATGAACATAGCTGTTGTAACAGCATATTATTTGGTTATAAACTGCTTATTTGGCTCTGTGTCTCGTGGTGTGTAAAGAGGCAGTTGTTTGTTCAAACATTTTTCTCAGCAATTTAAAAATGAAATCTTATGACAGTGATGAGTTTTGACAAAAATATGCTTACATGTAATATGCTGATTTGACCACTGTTGGAAGCTACTTTGAAAGCAACCCAACTCTGCTCTCTACCAGCTCTATGGGTGGTTCATTACCTTGGTCTTGGGTCTTCTCCTGATTTCTTGGTGCTACAGGTGTACGTGGGACCACCATGGCGGGCAGATAAACTTCCTGGTTACACAGAATGTTATTCAGCTTGAATCCCGCTCCTTTATTACCCCCTTTAGCACCTACTTTTCCTTTCCCATCAACCCCCTTGTTTTTCAGTCCATTGGTTTCTTTTGACCTCTGATGTCCATTCTTCTCCTTCTCTTTCCCCCTGGACTCCTCACACAGTCTTCCTCCTCTTTTCTCTTCCTTCCCCACTGTCACCCCGTCCTTCCCCCTGATGTCCCCAAGGGTCCTCTCTCTCATCGCTGTCGTTGCTCTTCCTACTGTTTTGCCTCTTCCTCCTCCTCCTCCTGCTGCTTTCCTCTGACTCCTTGGTGTGCTGGAGGGATTTGTGTGTGTGGCTCTGAGCCCCTGTTTTTCCTGCGGCCGAGTGCGTGCGTCTGCAGCGGCAGCAGCTGTCTGAGTGTTGGTTTTTCCATTAGCTCCATTGGCAGTGGGGGGTTTTGGGGCTGGGCGCCGCGTGCTGCGTCGGACTTTGTCCTCTGGTTTTTGTTGGCTATCAGGTGGTATGAGGTCTCCTTTACACACAAGAAATGAAACAATAATTTCAGATTAAGTGTTAGGCAACCAGATGTAAGAGTAGGGATTATCAAAGTAGCCCAAAAGTAAGCAGTTTATCTTTGATGAGTTACAGGAACAGAGAAAAAAAATCCATGCTAGATGATATTCAAGTAATTCAAGAACATTTGTACATAATTCTCAAGAATCTGCCTTACACCCCCACTTTTATATTTTATAACATGCAATTAAATGGTGTTTCCTGTTATCTTGTCCCCTTTTAAATATTTTGGAATCTTTATCTCTGGTAGGTCTGAAACTTTTTGGAACATCCCCAGTAGATTCCTACAGCCAGCAAAAACAATGGGCTTAAATGGCTGCAGCTTATCATTGGGTGCTCGTGCACATGATCGAAGTAGGACGGACAAAAGTGCTTGTTTTTGCCAAAAAACAAGATTTTGTTAGGATCAAATAGGCTATATAAAAGTGGAGGAATACCCCATTCAAATTAATAGAACCGATTTAATGAGCCATTCTCAGTTTTACTGTACCAGTCGTGTGTACTTAGACTTGCATGGCTTAATCTTTCAGACAATATACTGGCAGGATCAACCAGGTAGCCCGGAACATGGTCACCGGCGACGGGGACGTCCACCTAGTAGCGCTGGGTCGAATTCATGAGGGAAAGGGTTTTTTTAACAGCAATGTGTGAGTGAAGAAGCAACCTTTTGTGACTATTTGTGCTAAATGTATTTCAAACAGAAAATGTGTACTATAGAAATCCCATCATTACTTCCCTGCCCAGTGTTCCATCTTTTGTTTGTTTGTTGTTGTTTTTTTGTATACATTTTATGTCCATACCTGTTATGTGTGGGGAGGAGGAGTGGGAGTCCTTCCAGCTGTCCTTCTTTCCAAAAGAGTTGTTGTTAATGCAGTCCTGGATGTTGAAGAGACAGAAAAGCAGCATAAAACTCAATTCAACACACCAACACACACACACACACACACACACACACACACACACACACACACACACACACACACACAAACACACACACACACACAGAGGAGGTTTTGTTAGCCAGCACACAAGTGTGTACTGAGAGCCAGACCTACCCTTCTTGTGCCATCTTGGGTGCACACAAAAGCCTCTCTAGTTTGACGCTAAAGGTGGTCTAGATATTATTTTCTTTCACTCCAGGATTAAAACTATCAAATGATGAGAAACTTATGGGGTGCAAAGATCAGTCTTTTATAGATTGTGTCCACGTCATGTTGTGCAACATGTCCGATGTGTCCTTGGGCAAGACACTCAACCCTTCATTGCTCCCGCTACTTCGTTGACGGTGTATGAATGGATTAATGTTGTACTCACTGATTTACATCGCTTTGGCTAAAAGCGTCTGCTAAGTGAATTGTAACATTGTAACGTTGTAACATATATCTAATGTAGAGTCCTTGCCCTTACACTGCTGCAGGATGAAGGTCTGCAAACGTACAGAAAGCATTTTCGATGTGGCTGGGTCAATAATGCATGCTTATTGAGAAGTGAAGGGCAAGAAATTCAGCATCAAAGCATAGCTACTGTAGGTGAGTGCTAAATAGCTAACATTACCTAGTTAACCTTACCTAACGATAGTATCAGAATCATTGTCAGCTTTCACTTTCAGGCAGTGTTCTAGGGCAGTGATGTTAGAAAACGGGCACTGATATTTTACTCAACTTAAATGATATTTTATGGCAGGATTGGGCAGAGTCTGTTATTTTGTTCCCTCCTGGATGTTGTTGTTAGTTCGCAAAAGACAAAATAACAGAAACATTCACTAGATAAAAAAAAACCCCGATATAAGTATATAAGGGAATAATATAAAAAAATGTATCCTAATATTATTGTTAATATCAGTATCATCCTCACTCTCATGACATCATTGCCAGGAAAAGGAGGGAACATCAACCAGGAAGTGTACAACAGACCAGCCTAAACGTCAGGAGAACCACACGTCATGCTGACTCACACGTCATGCTGACTCACTTGCTGACATCCCATCATGCATCTGGATTCTCTAATGCACACTTTTTCTGTTCTGTGAGGATGGTTACTCAGCATGTATCTGTGTGTGTGTGTGTGCGTTTAGATCAAAGTATTTCTCTCTCTCTATGTGAAACAGATCCCTTTCTCTTAAAAACAGCAACAGACTGATCTGATATTTCAATGGCGTACTTAAATCTAAAGGAAACACTTTTACTATCAACTAAATCCATGTCGAAGAGAACAAACCGCTGGCTGTTTTTCTCTCATGTTTACACTCAGAGGGGGGAGCTCAAAATGTCATGATGTCTAACTGCTGTGTTCTACGTTGCCTATCGTTGTTGGGAATCACATCACTATGGTTTTGGGTTGGCTGAGGCTCATTGTAGAGCCAGTTGGCATTTTGATCCTCAGCTTCAGCTTTTACATGTCAAAATATTCTTCGCCAAGTAACTGAAACCTAAATTGCTCCTGCGGTTGAATGTGTATGGATTGGATTAGTTAATACTGATGGGCTCTTATTACAGCAGCCTCCTTATCAGTGTATGAATGTGTGCATGGATGAATGTGATTTAGAGTCAAAGTGCTTTGAGTGGTCAGAAGACTGAAGCACTATATAAGTACTGTCTATTTACCATTTAACATTTCATGGCTTCCCAATTCTGCTCTTTCCATTGTCTTATCACAGGGAACATAGGAGCGTCATTCTCTCATTTAAACAACATTAATAAAGCATGAGTAAATTTAATAAAATAGTCCAAATTTCTTACGATTTGGAAATCTGTAAGAGTAACCACTATAGGCTTGTGTCTGACAACAATTAACACAACTCAGAGTTATTTTAAAGTATGGCTGAAAAGTGTCACCATCTCAGCTAGGCCCTAATTAACTAGAAATATTTCACATACTTGGCATCCAAAAAACTTAAATTAGTCTTTATATTACAAATGAACAAATATCACAATTTTCAATGATAACGTGAATGCTGGAAAGTTTTATAAAATAACATCTGTATGATCACAGGGAAGACATTTTAGTTTTTCTTGAGTCGTTTCCTCTTTCACTTTCTTGTGAGTCGGATAGGGATCTGATCCAAAGTTGTATTGATTTGTTGTTTGGCATATGCTACACACACTTACAAAACTGACAGAATAGTTTTGCTCACAAACAAACAAGCAAACCACACTGAAAAAAAAAATATCTTCGATTGCATATTCACAACAGTAAATACATATTCAGGCCCTCGTCCTGCTCTATGTCATGTCTCACGTTGGTGTTTGAAGATAAAACGATGACGAACAAATATGTGATAAGTCAGATTGATTGTGTTTCTTTGATCCCTGTTTCGACTCCTATGCTAAGCTAAGCTAACTGGCTACTACCTGTCGTTTAATATTTAGTATACAGGACACATTTTTCCATGACTCCTCTTGAAAATTATCTTGTATTACATCATTCATATATATCTTTTGTATTATTTGTTTAAGTCTCCTGACTGTAGGAATACTGCTGTTCACAACTTTTCTGACAAAAATTTGGCAATAAACCTGATTCTGATACAGCTTCTTCTGCAAGAAAACATTTAATTTAGTCTTGTATCAGTCAATACTATAAGCTTCTCAATAAATAGTTATGAATGTTAGGGCTAGACTGAATTTTGTTTTTAACCACAAGCCAGCTTCCTGCTAATAACCTCCTTTAAGGGTTATCTCTCACCTTCAAAACCAACAGAGGATTTCTCTTTGACGGGAGACAGACCCGAGCAGGTAAGATATAAAAACATGTCATCAGCCCTGTCACGAAACCAGACTCCATACAGTCTAAGTGTACCTAAAATTACTTTCAGACAGACATTAGAGATCAATATGGCTGCCTCTGATGCTAAATCAACAACCTCCTCCCTCAAACAGAGGCAGAAAACAATGTAGGGGAAGCCAGACTTCACCTTGAGGCAAAAGAGTGCTGCTTGATCTTTTGTTTCAAAATGGTCCCTCTTCTGCAACTTAGACTTGTTCTGAGCAGGTGTAGAATCCACCTCCTCATCCTCTAGGCGAGCCGTAAACTCCCCTGTCTGACTGCAGTGTTTAGGGAGCACATGTCTTAAAGTATCATGCCAATTAGGTATTTCACAGATCTTTCAAATTCACATTCCCTCTTTTCAGCCCGTCTATGTTTGCTCATAATGTGTCTAAAGCAAAGGAAAGTCAGTGCACCAGCTCAGTTCTCAGATTACAGTGCATGAATGCACCATTGCCCTGATGAGTCTGCATATACAGCTGCTACTATACAGAGATAGGAGAATTATGCAAAGAATAGAGATGGGCGTCTAATATATTCTCACTAATCTACTCTCCCTTTTCATTGCTTAACAAATGAAACATATAGCCACTGATGTCTTCAAAACAAGTAACAATATAGCAGATTGATGCATGCTGTACAACTGTTTAAAGAAGTCTTTTTAAATAAACATTTCAAGATGTCTTCTGATGTATTTTGAATGTCGGTAATGAGAGACAGAATTGGATCAGCGGTAGAGTCGGTCGTCTCTCAACGGGAAGGTCGGGGATCCCCAAGCTCCCCAAGTGGTTCTGGCTTCTTCATCTGCGACGTGTGAATGTGTATGAAACGATAAAGCGGCATAGTTTATCGTCTAATAAGCAACTTGAGAGGTGTCCATGGATTCAGGGCAATAAGGAAGCCACATTCACACCTCCAGATGTATACACAAAGTCATTATTTGGTTGATTGCATCCCCAAGAGCCTGTTCTTCTGCTTCTGGTGAGTCTCAGTTTCGCTCTAAATAGAAGCTTCACACTGCCTTAAAGCAGCTATATGCGCTAAAAAAAAAGTCTTGGGATTTACTTGCAATTAATGGGTCTTTAATGTTGTTAAAATAACATCATCATGATACAGAATTGTAAAAAGTAAAAAAAAAAAAAATCCAATCTTTGTCAGGTCTGTTCTTAGAGGGATAATAAATCAACTTTTCAAAATGCTTGTTTGTTGAATGGAGGTCAGATCTATCATTACTGATGCTTCACAGGAAGTTGGAAACCTACACACTGATTGAGTATCAAGCAGATTTGTCACTCAAGTTGACATTTTTAAATCTTTGGATTATAACCTGCGCCTGAATGCTGACATCCGTTTAGGGATAAATATATCGCCGTCAGATTACCACTAATGGGGACCAAAATTACATTACAGTGGATTGCATCTGCTGCTCTCCACATGGCTGTGTTTCCCACACACACCAAAGCCTGCTGATATGTAATTGGTCATTACTACTCGGACTACAAACAGAAACCAGAACACCTCTCATACACAAATCCAGTCTTCCAGATGCAGTTTCCACATTTCTATGTAGAGATTGAAAGGTTATAAAATCTGCCTGCCCTCATGTTTACAGCCTAACAAATAAACAAATCAAGACAATTCATTTCACGTCTATCCTTTCATATGAGCCCATGTAGTCAGTGACATGTAGTTACTTAAGTTTGAACATTATCATGCATGTTGCTTATATCTGTTGGAACAGATGTATTGAGCAACCCAAAGAGCAGAACCTATTAACACCTTGAAGCCACCTCCCTAACACGTGCTAATTTTAGAACTAACAATTAGGTGATTAATTCACTGCTAAGAGTCAATCACTACACAAATGCACACACACACAAACACACACACACACACACACACACATACAAACATACAGACACACACATGCACGCACGCACGCACGAACACACACATGTGCACAGGACTGAGTAAGCAGCAGGGCTTACATGTTAAGTGAGAGTGAGTGTTATCTGGTCTAGTCTAATCCAGCTCCTGTGGTGAGTCCAGCTGTCAGGCAGGAGAGTCTGCTGAGGACACAGTTTACAGCTGACTGATGATCAACACACTGCACGTTTGATGTGTTTGACATGACGACCTGATCAATACTCCACTGGCTGATCATGGACTCATACTTTTTATTGACTTTTTTTTCCATTATGTAAACTCTTCACGTATAAATTGCTGTAAGTATTTGATATTAGGGAAAGTATTAGCATTGGATTTAAACAATTAATATAAAGCATTCTTTTTCATGCAGTTTGCCTTCCTTATACTGGTCATAGTAAAGTATACTATCTGCATATGTCCTGCATTACTGTAACTGCAACTGGAGAATTTAGGAAATCATCATCATGTGCAAGACCAATTTCTGGATGTTCTTAAAAAAAAAAAAAATCAAATAAATGTAATAAAGTTTAATAAATACAAAAAAGATACATTAACTATTTTTACAACACCCCAGATTCACCAAGACAAATACAAACCAATTAAAGTGCATTTCTGATTAAACATTCTGGTAATACTTTCAATAAAGGTCAATATTCACCATTAACTAGTTACTTATTAGCATGCTAATTAGGCATACTGGCTGCTTATTGTTAATATTCATTATTAAGTAGTGTAGTCATTATTAGGTGCTTATTAGTACTGTAATCTACATCACCATAATAGGCCATAACTAAGAGTTTGCCCTCAATACCCTCCTAATTCCTCTTATTGATAATCAGTTAGGACATTTTTTCTACATGAATTATGAAGTTAATATGCATTTGCTTACTTCGACCTTATAAGGGTCATACAAAGCAAAGCATAGAATCACGTACAACCTTTAAAGTTCAAGTATTCATGATGGGCTTAGTGCAAAACCCATTTTGAGTCAAGTAAAAGTATCCACATGATTAAATGAGAAACCCTTTGAAGCAGCATATACCTAGCAGCCTCTATATGTTCCCTTAATCCTCTGAGACCAGGTCCACAGCTCTTACAGTGCTGCTGCATTAAAGCAAGCAGGGCCGGTATGCAGCTTGTGAAGGATTGAATTGAAGACACAATAACCTTCTATATCTGCCTGTCAGCACATCGTCACTCTATTTCAGGCTGGAGAGGATCATTGAGTGTTGAATGAACCTGTACTGATAACATCTATATAGGAGACGTTCACATTACATCCTTTAGGTACACTATTTCTCTAAGGACAGTGTTGGATATTATCAACAATGCAACAAGCTGACATCTTGTTAGATTTTAGAAGTTGAATGTTGGGAAGATTTCAAAGAAGATATCATGGTTGAGTTAGGAGGGCATGATAATTCAGTTTCCTGATCGAGTTAAGCTGAATGAGTTAATAATATAATGGTGATCTACCCCTCTGTATATCCTTGCATTTGAAGAGTCATTTTAACACGTTAAATTCCATCTGCCAAATTCTTTATCCAATCTTTATCAGGACAGTTTCCTCCCAGCCCCATATAAAATCTTTAGCAATAAGACGGGGGAGCCGATGTGTGAACACAGTGGGTATTATTTATGAAAATGCATGCAAGTGTGGACATTGTAATAAGGTTTATATCATGTGACCAGTGCATGACGGTTTGATCTTTGTGCACGTAATGAAACTGCTACACACTGTTTTCTGCTCTCCAGTATGTTCTTCTCCACTCTTTTCTTTATCCTTTGAATACGTACACTTACATGTAGCATTGATAAAAGGGCAAAAACTGTCATCACGCAATAGGACTCTGTTGATCTATGCGCCATTTTGGATTTGTGTTAACACTACACTCTGACATCTGCAGCATCCTTTTTACGTCATGTCCTGCATCTTTAGACAACAATATTTAAGCGACACAAGAAAGAAAAGATCCATTTTCATATGGGTCATTCCTGTTACGTTGTCAGACACTACAGATACAAACCTGAGCCTGTTGGTTACAGTTACAGGTCGGCTACTGTTGTGTTCTTTGAACAGACAGCAAACAATTATGATGCAGCATGTGTTCTGCATGATGAAGGAATCTCCTGGCCTGATTTGGACTTGTACATTTGACCAAATTTAACCACCTAAATGACATCACAACAACTGTGGTTAAAAGATGCTCCATTGGAACTCTGACATCTGTGTGTTGAGTTATTTAGCTGTAACTGAAGGGAGACCCTGGATATGGTGCTCTGATCTGATCTGCACTGACACAGTCAAAAGGATGCAACTCATTTAAAGGGATACACCAGGAAAACAGTACTGCTGCTACTACTGCTTGATCCCTCAAGAAAGCACTCATTACTGAACACCCCTCCAGGAGCAAAGGCTAGCTACACCGCTGTATCATCTGGACTTGTTATGATAGAAATGTTCCTCTAGACTTGACATTTTATGATCCTGCTCTTCTATTTTTTACCAGAAGACACAGCTACAGATGACCTATATTAACCATACTTGTATGTATTTAACAAAATGGCAGACTGCCTCAGAGGATCTTGTTATAAAAGCCCAACCAGGCTCAATTTCCCCACCAGTAAATATGAGCTGTCAAGGCGTCCTTGAAGAAGTCAAACTGCTCACCTATTGTGGGTCTGCTGCATGATACATGATACAGATTGACTTATGAGTATGAATGTCCTAAAAATAGGTATGTGCCCTGAATATATTCCACATATCGGGGAGAGAAAATGTGCCTTTATCGAGTCAGAGCTAATTATACAGATATAAACGTACCATTCTCACAACTGACCCACTGCCAAGACTCACACACACCCAAGAGCATTCACAAACACAGAGACACGACTGGCCAACGCTGTCTCATTCCGAAGACAGCATCCTCCTGGAAATACACACACACACACACACACACACACACACACTTAACACACAGTAACCCATTTATTCAGCCTGATGTCACTGCTGCTTAACACAGCATCCACCCCTCCTCACACACATAGACACGTATACAGACACACACACACACACACACACGTACACACTGATTTGAAAAACAAGGATCCTCCCAGCCTCCCTACCTGGGTGCCGGCTTGTGGCAGTTGAGGGAACAGAGCCAGGGTGGTCGGCCTCTTTGGTCGATATTTATCCATGACAGCACAGGTTTGAGCCCCCTCTAACAGGTGATAGCTTCCTCCCTCCCTCCTCCTCTTCCTCCTCCTTTATTAAGCCCGGTTCGGCGCTCCACAGCTCGGACAAGGCCTCCCCCACCCTCCTCTATCTCCCTCTCTCTTACCCCTTCTTCCTGCTCAGTCTCCTCAGCATCGATCAGCTCTAAGCACCCAGCCCCAGGACACACCCCTCAAACTCACTCCTCGCCTTATTATTGGCTGGCCACAGTGTCACATCATCATCATCACCATCATCTTCCTGGCAGGAGCAGAGTGGAGCAGAGAGAGGAGGAGAGGAGAGACGAGAGAGGGAGAGAGAGAGAGAGAGAGAGAGGGAGAAGGGTGGTGTTGAATGGAGGCTGTTAGTGTTGAGCGTAGGATTGACAGAGCGAGGCAGGCAGGGAGGGAGGAGAGAGAAGCAGATGCAGGCAGGAAGAGAGAGGGGGGAGGAGGAAGTGAGGATCAACCAATCAGAGGAAGGCATGACATCATCAGCTCATCTGCCTGTGGCGTTTCAAGGCTAATAAACAGTGAGTGTGCCTGTGTGGTGTGTGTGCGTTTGTGTAACCTCGTCAAATAAGATTAGACTGTAACAGAGATCCCATGGAGAGACAAAGACCAAAGACCAGCCAGTAAACCTATCAAGTAGTCATCTAGTCAGCCAGCAGAGGACCCAGAAAACCAGCCATTTAACTGTTTAGACACTGACTGACCAGTGAGCTAGTAAGGCATCCAGTGAGCCAAAGAACCAGACAAGTCAGAAAGTCAGTAAATCAATTGTAGTCCACAGACAAACCAGTTAGCCAGTATTTTAACAGTCTAGCTAACATTAAATTAGTAAAGCAGGCAGCCAGCCAAGCAATTTAAAACACAAGACACTCATACAATAAATCTTTCCGTCTGGCCAAATCAGCCTGCAACCATTCACTTGACCATTTATTAAACAACACTCATTTGGTAGCCGATCTTGGAAACCATTTGCTGTAATCTGATGACAATACATCTTATTGGAGTCCTCGCTAACACTACAGGGCTTCCAGTGTAGCAGATGTTAGCTATAGGACTTCTGGTCAAGAGAATCTCTTCTATGTGTTGCCCTTGTTCGTACTCACTCACTCACTTATGAAAAGACAATGGATACAGAAAGCCAACACATGCAGGTTGTTTAGGAATAAATTAAATAATAAATAGTCATTAGATGACTGCTGATGGAAGCTGGGATTTTATTTTGGGTGGTTGCGCTCTGTTTCTTTTCCTGGCAACACTGACTTTTTCCTGTAAACAACCATATACAATCAAACGCTAATGGAAAATACCTCACACCCAAAACAAAACCAAAACATCAAAATCCAGTCTACTAAGGGACTACTAATGTCATCATCCAGTTCTCCAAAAATGAATTAGACTGTCATTTTCAAAAAACCCAGATTGTAAGAATCAGAGATTAAAGTCTTAACTAAGTTAAAAAAAGATGTTCCTTTAAACTTTGGATGATGCTTTCAATCTTACTGCTGATCATCTGTTTATCATCTGTTCATAACATCTGATTAAATTCATTCAGTGAAAAGGGGTTTCATGTCATGGTCCTTGTCTAATAATGTATTTTATGTTTTATTGTTTTTCAGTTACTATTTCTCTCCTTTGTTTCTTCCCTCCTTTGCTTAATTTCTCTCTTTTGTGATTGGCTGCCTCTCCCTTATTATTTAGCTGTAATTAGCACATTTCCTGTTTCCTGCAGTGATTGATTTCAGACACAGAATGTGTCTTTCTTCCCCTCTCCCTATACATATTTATTTAAAACTGTATAGGCACAAAAGCTGCATCAATTTTCAAAAAAAGCAATGTGGTATTTATCAAGATCAACAACCCACTGGAGAAGTCCATTACAGGCAGTGGATCGACAAAACCATGCAGGAAAATGATGAATAAACCTAAAAGGTTAATATTGAGATCCCAAATATATTTCATATATCTCGTATGATTCCCCTTTAATTTAAAATAATAATAATAATAATAATGATAATAATAATAAAGTTTATTTATATAGCGCTTTTTGCAGACAAAGGTCACAAAGTGCTTTACATCAACAAAAAACACAAAAACAGCATACATACAATGAAAGAAGAAAAAGAAAAAATGAGTACGTCATGGACAACATTATAAAATCATGCTATAACCAGGAACAATACAACATAGATGAGTAGGTACACTGGGTGGACCTGATTACCCATAGGCCTGTCTTAACATTCACGTATTTAGTTGTTTTTTAAAAGACTCAACAGAGTCAGAAAGACGTAGCGAGACGGGTAGAGAATTCCAGAGGATTGGTGCTATGGACTGAAATGCATGATCCCCACGAGTCTTAAAATGTGTCTGCAGGACAAACAGCAGGTGTAGGGTGTTTGACCTTAGTGAATGGGTGGGTGAATACGGGTGAATGAGTTCTGACAGATAATCTGGGGCCTGACCGTGAATGGCTCTGAAGGTGAGAATGAGAATTTTAAACTTAATCCTATATGCCACAGGGAGCCAGTGCAGTGCATTACAATAATCGATACGAGATGAGACAAAGGCGTGCAAAATCATCTCAAGTTCTGCTTAACAGAATAAGTAAAATAAGTAGGGAAACATCCTGTAAGCAATGAGGAATTTACAATGGATAAAACAGCTGGACCAATAGTAGGTAAAAGTTTTAAAAACAGTGAAGGTGGTAAGACATCTAAGGAGCTATTAGTCATCTTTGTTTTCATTGTCAAATCCATAAGGTGGAAGGAGTCCAAGACAGTAGGGGTAGCAGAGGAGCTGTCTCTAGGTGAGTGAGAGTTCGGCTGCATATATTATAGCCAATACCTTATCAACAAAGAAGGAGAGGAACTTATTGCAGTCATCAGTTGAACAGCATGGTAAGGTGGATGGAGATGGTGAGATAATATTGTTGACAGTGTCAAATAAAACTTTTGGATTCCTTCTAGAGGAAGAGATTAAAGTGCCAAAGTAAGCAGTTCTGGCTTCCTGTACTGCTTCATTAAAAGAATGCCGCACATCTTTGAGATAAAAGCGATGTACCTCCAGTCCAGTGGATTTCCATAGTCGTTCAGACTTGCGACATTGCTGTCTCAGGCAGCGGACAGCATTGGTCATCCATGGGGAAATGTTACGAATGGCCTTAGTCCTCGTCTTTAAAGGTGCCACTGTGTCCAGTAAAGTGGCACAATGAAGATTGAAAGATCAATCTTCGGCTGATCGGCTGTATCTGTTGTAATGATGCGGGAGTGAAAGGTTCTTACAACACTGGGAGGATCAATGGTTACACAAAGATCAAAGAAAATACTTATAATATGGTAACTGATCAGTAGGTCTTCACATTGGACATGGTTGACATCTATCCCTAGAGAAAAAAACAGGTCCAAGGTGTGGCCTTTTATGTGTGTGAGGCCTACAACATGTTGCTTGAGGTTAAAAGAATCTGTAATATTAAGAAATTCAGTGGCTGCAGAATTGGAATCATCATCAATATGCAGGTTAAAATCCCCAGCTAAAAGTATTCTGTCCAGTTTAATACAAGATGTTAAAAAGTCAGTGAACTCAGTTAAAAACTGTCCTGCTTGACCAGGAGGTCGGTAAATTAAAATAAAATAAAAGGGATTGATTCTTCAAATTTTGGTAAGTTGTAGTTCAAAGGTGTTGAAATGATCTGTGCTGACCAATTCACATGAGAATGTGTTTTTCCAAACAACAGCGAGACCTCCCCCACAGCCAGACAACCGTGGGGTCCCAATAATGGTACAGTCCCTGGGGCATAGTTCATTTAAATGAACATTTTCCATATCCCTCTGCCATGTCTCAGTTAGAAGTAGAAAAGGCAATTTTTCTCTTGAAAATAGGTCATTTAAAATATGTGACTTATTTGCTACTGAGCAGGCATTGATCAAACACATTTTAATAGAGTCTGTGTTAGGAGCTTTAAAAGCTTTGGGGGAGCGAGAAATTAGTCGGATCACTTGCACATGATGGTGATCCTGACAATCACAAAGGCGTGACTGGTGGTAAGTGATTCTGACTGGGATGGCCATGGTAGGAGTAGCAGCCCCACCTAACCTCTAGACCCTCAATAGGGAGCTATTGGGGTCTGCATGAGGGAGAGGGCGTAAGCTAGTCTGGTGAGTGGAGGCTTGTCTGGGGGAGGTACCTGGAGAGCTGGATAGTGACGGCTGAGGTCGGAGGGAGGAGCGAAAAAAGTGATGAGTCATTGAGGGTGTGGAAAAAGGTGCAGCAGGTGGTGAGGTGGTGTGTGATGTCAACAGTCAGGCATGTGTAGTTGATTGCACGGCCTGAAAAAATTGCTGCCTTGTTTAACGGCCACATATTATACTCCTTTTCAACAAGTTTAAAAAAAGTCTCAGGGCTCCCCGCAACATGTCTGTGACGTTTCTTGCCAAACATCCACTCTGATCCTGCATTTGATCGTGCCTATAAACCGCAGAGGAGGGCAGAGCAATCTCCTGTTTGTGGGAGTGTCACCCACCCTGGGGGAGGGGTTACTGTCCATTGTTATGTCACAAAGGGAAAATCTCCAAACAGCCTGTTTGAGCACATATTTTCTATAAAGTGGAACAGGCAAAAGAGGGGGAGGATGGACTTATCTCATAATTGAGGGTAGTCTATGGACACATATTAGTGTTAGAACAACTAGGTAAAGTGTATTTTGCATAATAAGTAATCTTTAAAGAATTACATATTAAAGCTGATCATTTATAAATATAACTAAGAACAGAGGAAGGGGGATTATTCTTTTAAAATAGGATTGTGGGTTCTGTTTCCAGTCTGTGATGATCTATGAATAAAGAGAAGCAGTCTATCAGACTTAATGGGAAATTTGCTTTTTTTATTAGAACAATAATTAAATGTTAATTGTTTTGTCAAGATTTGGTCTTATTTAGTTTTTTATTTCAGTATTTAGGTTTCCATGTTTTAATTTCTCCTGTTTAACCAAGTGTTGCTTGTTTCCCTTGTGTGTTTTTGTCCTAATGAGATGAGATGAGATGAGATTCAACTTTATTGTCATTACACATATACAAGTATAGAGTAACGAAATGAGGTTTGGCATCTCACCAGAAGTGCAAATAAGCAGAA